CCCTCTGTTCACCGAGTATGATCTTGCTGTACTAACAAATCATGTATGATGTCACCGACTTGTTGGACGCGCAGTTTAAGGAAACAGAGGAGTGGATCAATCTTTTTCATAATTTGTTAATGTTTACAAGAATGTTAAAACTTTTTTTATTTTTTTATATAAGATGGTAATTAAAGTTAAAAAAATTGTCAAAAAATTATACAAGAACTGATGCTTTACATGTTTTGCACTTATATAAACGGAGACTATGACGTAGTTAAACAGAGTCATGTGACCATGTGTCCAACATCCCCTTAAAACAGAAAATACTGAACTGCATTGGAAGCATCGTGTAATTTAATAAAATAATAATTCCTTTTTTATAGTTATGAGATGGTCATATTGTCCAAATTAAAAATTTTAAGACGTGTAATATTTCTTCGAGACATGGTAATGAAACTGTAAAATAACCATTTTTAAAGAGAACTAAGCATTACTATAAAAGCTGTCATTGCATATACAAGTTATGTTTAGAATTATGTATCCCAAGAAAAAAGTAGGATAAAGTGATTATATTCCCATTTCATCTACCTGTCGGAGAAACAATACGCGGATGCCTTGACCATTTTTACGGAACATGCATGTGTCATGGATTAATCACATAGGAATTATACAAAAAATATTTATCTAATTTATTATATATTTTCTACATTATTTAGCCTTCAAACAGGATTTCTAAGTTTTAGAGACTTAATTATTCAGGACTGCGCTTTTTTCTATTTTCGTTTTGTGAATGACTATTTCCCTCGGTGTCGCCAGCTTACAACCAAAGATTTGAAATTTATTAACGCACAAAATTAAACCAAAATTGTCTCCTTTATTCAAACATATTTTTAAAAAAAGAATTGAACTAAAGGAATCAGTCTACATAAAAAATTTAGCATGTTTTATTTCATAAATTTGACGATCAACATTTTGATTGACCAACACGCGAAGTTAAACTATGTCTTAGGTAATATACAGGTAACATCCTGTGTATATAGGTAGGTATACACAAGCCAGCTTGGTTCCCTCGGAGCTTCACAGCCGTTTCAATTAAGCTCCACCCCACACCAAACTTACCTGAGGAAAACCGACCGGTTGAAAACCTTGGCCTTTAAAGAAACTATGTATGAAAATGATGTATTATATGAAAACAACAAAAGTAGCTGGAGCAGTAAATTTATTTTATTCTTGGTAAACTAGATATACAGCATCTTGTACATGATAAAAATAATGTTTCAATAGTTGCTAATAAGTTATGCGAAAAATATAAAGCCACTTGGTGCAATACACTCTCAGACAATGCAAAGAAGCAAGTTGGCAAGCTCAGATCATATGCCCTCTTTAAATCAAGATTCTGTAGAGAAAAATATTTTTCTGTTATAAGTAATGCTGATATTTTAAAATGTTTTATACACTTTAGAATCAGCTCACCTCCTATTGCTATTGAAACTGGTCAATATAAACAAACTCCTATTAATGAAAAATTTGCTATCTGCAAGTCTCATTGTGTAGAAGATGAAATACATTTTATTTAATTGTTCAGCATATCAGGACTTACGAAAACCATTTTTAGAGACTGTGAATACTATCTGTAAAAATTTATTAAGTTTATCTAATAGAAACAAGTTTATATGGCTTAAGAGTAATGAAATGAGTTTTTCATATTACATTCATAATTGTTTTAAAAGAAGAAAAGTTGATTTATCATGAGAAATAACAATGAACTTGTCTGTAGTACATGTATTATTATTGTATAATATCTTTTTTTTTTCATGTTAATTAGTATGAAAATTATGTGTATTCTTAACATCATAATTAATGTTCCTGAATTGTTCAACTATCATTTAGAAATTTCACTCTCTGTTTTGTTACTTATGCCTTTGTATGCCTTCTGGGCCGAAAATCGGAAATAAATACATTACATGTACTTACTTACTTAAAATAAATAACTATATATACATGACATCATGATGTACCTTTTTGCTTTATTCAGTTTCCAAAAAAAAAAACACCTAAAAATACAAAGGAGCATGGTTGTTTTATTAAAACCACGTGTGAAAAGTTAGCACGGCATTGAAATTGTTACATCCGGTAAGACTAGTTTTGAAACCTGTCAACCCAATTAACCCGAAAAATTCTGGACACTTGAAAACTCGGAACTCCTGAAGTTTTTCCTCCGTCCTGCTGACTTCGAGATATCGAGAGTTACCTGTATTTTAAAAATTTTTTTAATAATCAATGTGCACAGCACATGCTAAAAGTCTCCCTAGAATTAGAATTTTCCTCCTAATTTTCTCCATGAGAGAAATGAGTGATTTTAGGTATAGGTTGGTCCCCATATATTGTCTCAGTGGAGAAAAAATTTAAGGTTATGTTAATGCTTTAGTTTTGTGTTATTTACAAAAAAAGTGGCACAAGCATATTTTTTGGTAGGACAAGTAATTTTACTATGGTAACCTGTCCGAGGACAAGTACTGAAAAATTCTATTTTTCTATCCCTGAGTCAGTGGTTCTTGAAAACATTTTTAAAGGATGCCTTTAGTTTTTCAATAATTCTTAATTATCTCCCTTTGAAAGAGGTGCCCTCCATTAGAACGAAGGATATTCACTATTTGAAAAGAATTGACCTATAGGAGAGAACAATTTCCCAGAAAAAGTCCTTTTAAAAATCAAATTAATTGATTTGATTTTTAAAAGTGACTTTAATTATTAATTAATTAATTTATTTATTATTATATAATTAATTATATAATTTAATGTTTATTAGTTGTTAACTAATGTATATATATCTAAATTTTTCAAATTTGTCTTTTGAACCTAAAATTTATTATTTACAACCGAAAAATTAGCCTCCAAAGTTGGCCAATACAGCATTTTGTCCATTGAAGCACAGATTTTTTGCATGAATTTTGGCCCAGAAGTCCTTAAGGCCAGGCTTGCCCCTAAATAAATTATGATATTTTGTAAGGTTGTGATGAAAGGGAGAATTTAAGACAGGAATTTTAAGGGACACCCCTGCCTAAATAGGGTCTAAATTCACAAAAAAGCAATAGAAAATAAGAAACTTGTTTTTAAAAACCTAGTTGGCATTTAAACACACTATTTTCAAATCCAGAATAGCTAGATCAGTAAAACTGCTGGGTATATACACCGAAGATACTCTTTTGAGTCTTGGTTCGAATCCACCTGGTGCCACATTTTTAAATTCTTGTCTTTTTATAGACTATTATATTTTTTTAAAGGGTCTTGTGTATTTTCTTTCAATCATCTATCTTTTATGTCTGTTCATTTTTGATATAAAAGACACTAAAAAGAAAGCAAATTGTAAATTCCATTGTAACTAAAACACAGTCAAGCGGAACTATACCTCAGTATAGCACAGTTTCGTCAAGGACAAGAATTATTCACTCTGTGTTACTCGATACAGATATTCCCACCTGCAATGAGCATGAGCTGCGATGGATTTCTATTGTGTGTGTGTGTGTGTGTATATATATATATATATATATATATATATATATATATATATATATATATATTCCTTAGAATTTAATCAATTTAATGTGTTACATTGCTCTTATTCCATCTGTACTTCTAGTTCTTGTCTGCGTTATTGTGCTGGAAAGTATATGTACTGCGTATATTATATGAGCTTAGAAAATATATTTAGAAATACATGCATGTACCGAGGCAATAAATTTCAGATCTGAAGTTTTCAAACAGTAGGATTGATTGATTGATTATATGTTGTTTAACATTTTTCACTCATATAGAGAAGTCACCATATACCGGTGAAGGGCTTCAAATTTAGACCTTTACTCGGCACTCAGGGCCATTGAGCAGTGAGGGATCTTTATCGTGCCAACACCTGCCGTGACACAGGGCCTTGGTTTTTAAGGTCTCATCCGAAGGATCCGCAACTTTCACTTCAAAGTGCTGAGCGCTTGGCGAAGGAACAGTTGCTACCTATTTTTTATCAACTTAGGTCAGTCGCGGCCGAGATGCGAACTCATGACCTTCCGATCACGGAGCAAGCACTCTTCCAACTCAGCTGCCGTGAAGGTTCAAACAGTAGGATAACATATCAGTATCTACACTCCCTTGGATTTAATTTTTAGCTCACCTGAGCTGAAAGCTCAAGTGAGCTTTTCTGATTACCTGTTGACCATCGTCCATCCGTCTGTCTGTCCATCCATCCATCTGTAAACTTTTTACATTTTCAACTTCTTCTCAAGAACCTTTCAGTCAATTTTAGCCGAAGTTAGTACAGAGCATCCTTGGATAAAGGGGAGTTTAAATTGTTAAAATGAAGGGCCAACCCCTGTTACAAGGGGAGATCATCAAGAAAAGACAAAAATAAGGTGGGGTCATTAAAAAAGCTTCTTCGCAAGAACCAATGGGCCAGAAAAGGTTAAACTTATGTTGAAGCTTCCTGGGGTAGTGTAAATTCTAAATTGTTTGAATCATGGCCCCCGGGGGTAGGTCGGGGCCACAATAAGGAATCAAAGTTTTACAGTGAAATTTATACAGGAAAAATTGTGAAAAATCTGTTTCTCAATAACCACTAGACTAGAAATGTGTGTATTGACAATATCAATATGTAAAGATGTCCATTGTCTGTCTGTCTTTTTGTCTTTTAACAGTATTTAAAAATGCTATTCCTTCAATTTCAAGCAGAGTACCTATATTTATCTGACCAGCTTAATATTCAACTAAGTCTGATCAGGCCTTAACCCATTGACACAGATGAAGCTGCAATAAGGCTCAAAGTTTTGAATGTAATAAAATAAAAAAAATTAATAAAGCCTGAAGAACAGTAGGACCAAGGACACTCGGATGTGCATTGTTGCCCATGGACCCTCTTAAATTTATGTCTAAAAAATAACTTGTTTAGAAAATATGCATGAACCCCCCCCCCCCCCTCCATAAGATAAATCACCATATTTCAAAATGTAATAAAAAGATTTATTTCACAGATACAAGTCGGAAAATTTGCTCCCCAGTTTTCAGGATACCAGCAACAAGATTCCCAGGAACTACTTGCATTTCTGCTTGATGGATTACATGAAGATTTAAATAGAATTAAGAAAAAACCATACATTGAATGCCAGGATACAGACAGCCGCTCTGATGAAGTAAGAGGCTTTTTTTTCAAAAAAACTTTTTAGCTTACCTGAGCCAAAGGCTCAAGTAAGCATTTTTGATCTAAGTTTTTCCATTGTCTGTTATCATTGGCATTATCATCATTGTCATTATAGTAAAAATTTTTATTTTAGCTCACCTCATCGAAGTTGGGGGAGCTTTTGTAATACCCTCGGTATTGGCATCCCAGGTTAAAGTTTTTGGAGCATATTTATACCCCCACTCCAAAGGAGGGGGTATACAGTTTAACACTTGTATGTCTGCCTGTCTGTGTGTCAGTGTGTCTGTCCGTAACAAATTTTCTTTGCAGTTTTCTCAGCAACTACTCATTGCAGATGCTTGAAATTTTAGCACACTCTTTGTCTAGGCATGCCGTATGGTGGGATTCATTTTTGTACAAATCTGATGTCAACTTCCTGTTTATCCATGTGTCTGTCCATAACTAATTTTCATCGCAGTTTTCTGAGCAACTACTCATCGCAGATGCTTGAAATTTTAGCACACTTTTTGTCTAGGCATGTCATATAGTGGAATTTATTTTTATACAAATTGGATGTCAACTTTCTGTTTATTTGTGCATCTATCTGTAACAAATTTTCATTGCTGTTTTCTCAGCAATTACTCCTTGCTGATGCTTGAAATTTTAGCACACTCTTTGTCTAGGATTTCTATATTGTGGGATTTATTTTTGTACAAAACTGATGTCAACTTCCTGTTTATCCGTGCGTCTGTCTGTAACAAATTTTCGTCACAGTTTTTTCAGCAAATACTCATTGCTGATGCTTGAAATTTTAGCACACTCTTTAACTAGGATTGCTATATGGAGGGATACATTTTTGTACAAATCTCATGTCACCTTCCAGGTGTTTATCCTTGTGTCTGTCCATAACAAATTTTCGTCACAGTTTTATCAGCAACTACTCATTGCTGATGCTTGAAATTTTAGCGCACACTTTGTCTAGGATTGCTATATGGTACGTGGGAGACATTTTTGTACAAATCTGATGTCACCTTCCTGTTTTTCCGTGCGTTTGTCTGTACTAAATTTCTCAGCAACTACTCATTGCAGGTGCTTGAAACTTTAGCACACTTATTGTCTAGGCATGCAATATGGTGTGATTCATGAGAACGTATATTCACATCAGAGCGGGGGTATTACTAGTGAGCATTGGCTCACAGACTTCTTGTTCTTTTCAAGTACTTCTATGCCCTATGTTAATCAGAGATGCATGGAGGATGCTTCTAGTGTGTTTCATTGTACCAGTCAAGGTTTCAGATGCTGCAATCTCAGCTAAAGTATGACCAGGTTAATGTTTTTGGAGCAGGTTAAAGTTTTTGGAGCAGGTCCCATTTCCAAGTAACTGTTGACCAAACTTGCATGGATGATACATCTAAGGATGCACACTACCAGACTTGCTTTGGATGCTGGATCTGACGTACATTTTCCAGATGAGTGACCAGGATGAAGTTTTTGGAGCAGACCTCATTTCCAAGTAACTTAAAGACCTTGAAGATGATAAATCTAAGGATGCACACTACTGCACTTGCTTCAGATGCTGGATCTGACCTACATTTTCCAGATGAGTCACCAGGTTAAAGTTTTTGGAGCAAACCTCATTTCCAACTAACTTAAAGACTTGCTGTAGGGGCACAAATTTTTGTGGGGATGAAATTTCATTGATATGTCACCTAAAAAGGTTTAGTGGCCATTTAATTTCATTGATTCGAAAGTATCCCTATTCTATATATAGTCATATAAAAATTTTGTGTGGGATTTAATTTCGTTGATAATTGTTAACAACTAAATAAACGAAATTTAATCCTCAACGAATATTTCTGATTTTACAGTATATTGACCAAACTTGCATGGATGATACATCTAAGGATGTGCACTACTGGCTTAGAATCATCTTAGGTTTTTAGTGTTTTATATGAAATGCAGGTCATGATGACCCACTTTTTGAATTTCAAGGCTTTATTTAAATATACAGGATATTTAGAGGCTTCAAATAGAAGTGATACTGGTTGTACAATTTATCGGAAGAGCGATTCAAGGCCCTTGGGCCTCTTGTATTAAATCTTCTTAAAAAAAAACACTGAGTAGCAAGAGCTAAACCATAAATTAAAGTTTCCTGACAAAGTGTAGATTCAATTAGGATTAAATTATGGTCTCATGAGGTAGTGTGGAGCCACAATAGGGGATTTTCATGGCAATACATAGGGAGAATCTTCAAAACAGCAGAGCCATGAATTGTAAAGTTGTAGTGTAGATTGAATGTTCAATGTTAAAACAAATAGGATGGAGACATAATAGGAGATTAATCTTTAAAATGAATTGTGTAGATAATGAACATTAATCATAATTGGAAGCAAAGCAAACACATACGTTTGAAATATCAGAGATGAAATCAGGATCTTGATGTTACTATTCCTTCTTTCTGCAGTTTCTGTGTTTTAAAAAAAAGTCCTACTTTCACCAATATGTTGACTGTACGACTGTTAGGGTGAACACTTGCAGATAACTTTTTTAGTTTTAATTTATTTCCGTCTCTTTAGACGCAAGTGACATTTGGAACGTCTAGACTCTGACATCATTTGATGTTGTATATAAATTATATAATCAGACCAAAGTCTGAACAGGTACTTTTTTTAGGTCACCTGAGTCACTCATGTGACCTATTCTATCTGTTTTTGTCTGTCGTCTTGCGTTGTGCGTCGTCCATTAACATTTCAACATTTTTACTTCTTCTCTGAAACCCCTCAAACAATTTCAACCAAATTTTGCATATAGCATCTATGGATGAAGGGGAACAAAAATTGTGAATTTCATGGTCCCTGCCCCCCTGGGGCCTGAGGGGTGGGGCTAAGACACCAAAATTAATGCAATCTTTAAAATTCTTCTTCTTTACTCGTGGACATCAAGCAGTCAAACTGTTGGCATGATTGTAATAAGCATTGAGCCCTCTACCAAAGTTGTGAAATTCATGTCCCCAGGGTCAGGGATTCTGGTGCTAGGGTGGGGCTATATAGATCATATAGTGAAAGTGCATGATTTCTTTGAAAATCTTCTCTGCTCCTGGGTATTAAATAAACTAACCAAGTAAATAGTTATGATGAGCAATAGTGCCTTTTCCAAAATTGTGCATTTCATGGCCCCAGGGTCAGGGGTTCTGGTGTTAGGGTGGGGCTCTATTGATTATAAAGTGAAAATGCATTAATTCTTTGAAAATCTTCTTCTCTGCTCCTGCGTATTAAATAACATAACTAAGTACATAGTTATGATGAGCAAGAGTGCCTCTTCATAAATTATGAATTTCATGTCCCCAGGATCAGGGGTTCTGGTGTTAGGGTGGGGCTCTATTGTTTTTATAGTGAAAATGCATTAATTCTTTGAAAATCTTTTTCTCTGCTCCTGGGTATTAAATAAACTAACCAAGTACGAGGGCTGTTCAAAAATTACGCGGACTCTGCTATTATTTACTCCTACCGACGTCATATAGAATTGAAATTTCACAGGAACATATTTCTTAAAGATTCCAATAAATTCTTTGTAAAATTTTTTGATTTTATTAAATATTCATAAAATTATTGCTCTTTTGATACTGCTGATGGTGATGCACGGAGCACCGCAAAAATGTTGAAAAACAAACATGCGGTATCAAAAATTTTATTCATTTATTTTGCTCATTTCACGATATTATTCAACAATTTTCTCTAAAATTTCTTTTTATTGTTGTATTAATTAGTATATAGATTTCTGACGTAATATTTTAAATACTAACAGAAATATCGTAATATTTCTCCGATGTGACCCTTACGAAATCAACTGCAAAAATGACGTCTCGTAATTTGACGGCGCAGCGCAATTTTATCAAATCATGAATCATGCTGGGACAACGCCAACAGAGGTCCAAAATAAGCCTGATGAAACATGTAGTAAATCAGCGGAATTTTCGACACTTATCTACAAAATGTAAAAAAGAATTTTAGACTGTTAGACCTTAGTCAAAAGGCAATCTGGGAGGGATGGAAGAAGTTCATCGACAAAACACTGATCTGGGCTGTTAAGAATGTGATTGAGATCGACTGACGTCAAACTTTACTTCAGAAATATCTGCAGTTTTTTGGTGTTTAACACAAAGTAGAACACACAATACTTTTTAAAGTTTTTAAGCTGGACCAGAAATGGTATATGGATGTTTATTCTGAGTGGATAAGGTAACCCCAACTGTACTCTATCAAATACTAAGGGAAAATATTGAGAAAGTGAAAGCTATTTTTTTTTTAAATGCCCGTGACGTTGAAGGTTTTACTGCGCCGTGACTTCATGATATGTCTTGTTAAATCACCCGAAATTGATACCAATTTACAATATTTTGATATGAAATTTTGATGACTGTATATGTAAAGATTCTTCTATATTATTTATGAATTTTTGCTTGATTATGTCGTCAAATATATTTTCTGTGCAGCAAGTCCGCGTAATTTTTGAACGGCCCTTGTACATAGTTATGATGAGCAAGAGTGCCTCTTCCAAATTTTTGAATTTCATGGCCCCTGGGTCAGGTGTTCTGGTGTTAGGGCGGGGCTCTATTGATTATATAGTGAAAATGCTTATATTCTTTGAAAATCTTCTTCTCTGCTCCTGGGTATTAAATAAACTAAGTAAATAGTTACAGTACCCACATTGTTATTCTTTACAGGATACAAGATACGATAGGAAACACACACGATACGATAGGATACACGCACGATATGATAGGATACACGCATGATAGGACAGGATACATGCACGATAAGATAAACTCAAAGCATGATAAACGCAAAACAAGATAAACGCAAAATACGATAAAGCAAATCAAGATAGACCTGATAAACGATCTTCACGATAGGATAAATGCAAAACCTGATAGGATTGTTTTAAAATGCGAAATGTTTTTTGACAAGACAAAAAGTTTCCTTTTTTATATACTGTAGTATGATAATTTTAATT